ATAAAGTCGTACGCTTTGACAAATTCGAGTTTAGGGGCTTAGAGGAATGAACAAACCCTAACGAGTTCAAGAACTCTAGCGACTACTGAGGGTAGTTTCAAGCGAGCAAGAGCGTATGGAGCGGTTTTCAATCCCTGTTTATTTGCACTCTAGCTTTAAGCATGTAAACCTCTGTGTAGACTTGTGGAATGCAAGGCTAACTCACTTTTTATAAAAGGTTTCGTAAAGTGTTGTGAGGGAATTCATCTGCCACAGAATACACCACATCAGAATTTAACAATAGGTTGGAAAAGGCTAAGCAACTTCACCGGAAACCCCCCGCGATAGCTCTTTTGGTTGTAGGTAATTCGACAACGCCTTATTCTTTTCAAAGAAATTGTGTTGACCAAGAGGGTAATGTGCATGCCGGCGTTATCTTGCAAGGTAGGGGTATTGAAAAGTGGATGACGAACATAATCATGTTCCCCCTCTGTGTTTAAAAACACACTGCTTTGTTGGTTAGAAGATAAATTTGCTTCAAAAGATTCACCTTACTGTTATTTGTCCACGTTATGGAAGTGGACAGAAATTACAACTGTGTTACGTCCGCTCTGCTAAAAAAATGAGACTAAATGATGGGCTTCCGTTTGTCGGAGGTAACTTGAAGGGATGAACTACTGAATTCACATAACCATGACAGTTACCTTTCTCTCTTTAGCACTCTGAGGAGTCTTAGTTAAGGATATGTAGAATGTGAACAGGATCAGAGCAACATATGAGTTCAATTCACATTAACTTCGCTCTTGCTTAATAAGCTCTTCTCTGTCTAAGCGCAATTATTTTGGTGTGTCCACACCAAAGGGAGAAGGTTTTGGGTTCGAGTTTCATCCCTAGTAGAGCTCGTCAGATCTTTGGTCTTATCGGGATTTAAACTCTGGACATCGGACATGCGAGGCGAGCCAAATATCACGTCTCCACCAGCGCGCGATAGACGAATCTTGACTTTGACATCCAAGTAGATGAACGTGGGCTCGACGCAAGGGTGTGATTGGTTCGTCCAACTTTGATTGTTCATCTACATTAGTGAAAGATCTGGCCCTATTTTTCGCCTGATTATCGAAGCGACGAAGGGATGGTAGGGCAAACTGATTCCAGCGAATAGGGGTTCTCCTGATGAGATTCTACTTAAAAAACGAATAACCTCCAACAATCTGCAATGTTTTCTGCATTGAAACCAACCAAAAAGATTTAAAGACTGCTGAATAGTGCACATCCCAAACTCAACCTTTCAAATTGCAGCAGATAGGCAGCCCGTTCAGAAATTACCAAGGTTCCTATTCAAGACGTGCAATAATTTATGTGACCTAATTGGCTTCCGGAGATTCTGTGGGTAAACATGTGGCAAGAAACGCGTCCATCAGAAGCGCGTTAGCTCGAATTAGCTTAGGGGTTAATGCGCTAACTTACCAGTTGAAAATTCCATGGGTTCGAACCCGACTGCTCCTGTCTAGGTCTTAGCAACCTGGCCATATCTTGACCCACGTCCACAATTCTAGTGGCATGGCGTCAAAACGGTGTTGTAAATGAATTATTATTATTATTATTTTGCTATTATTTTTGGACAGTTAGTAGCATTCACAGCTGAAGTCGAACACGCTTATCAGCTGCATCTTGTGAGGAGGGCAATACCGATCTCCTGAGACCTACGGGAAATTACATGAATGATACAGCGAAGACGCAAAACGAGAAGAGTGACGTAGAGCACGGTGTTGTAATGAATTATTATTATTATTATTTTGCTATTATTTTTGGACAGTTAGTAGCATTCACAGCTGAAGTCGAACACGCTTATCAGCTGCATCTTGTGAGGAGGGCAATACCGATCTCCTGAGACCTACGGGAAATTACATGAATGATACAGCGAAGACGCAAAACGAGAAGAGTGACGTAGAGCGCTAGAAATTTAGTTAAAACACTTCATTGTTTTCGCTATGAAGTCAGTCATGCGAGTCAGTGTATTTCGCTAATTTTGTGCAATTTGGGTTGAAGTAGAACATCAAGTGAACGGAAACTCGGGGACTGCGCCTACCTGATGAGCCCTCAGAAGGACGAAACTGGTCGTGGGCTGTCGAGGAGTTTTCATCAGCCCTAATAGTACTGTAGTACATTTACAAAACTCTGCTTTTATGAGAAAGTCAGCGAGCTCAGGTTCGTTTACACTCACACCGCTGACCAGCCACCCTTGGCTCAACGGTGAAGTGTTCAAACTACTAGCAAGGAGGTCGCGGGTTCGAGACTCTCTGGAGTTTCCTGAGGCGCGCACTGCCGGTGATTTCTAATAAGAAGGAAACAGCTTTTCAGCATAGATTTGCTTCACTTACAGGACGAAACCTTCACAAAATTTCCAAACCTCCTCACACTATAAAAAAATCAGGATTGTTTTCAGACACATTAGTCCAATAAGCCTAAAAACACCATTATTACGGTGAAATGCATCAGATCTTATCGACCATAACTTTCAAAGTAAACCTTCTTACGGGCAGCCAAGCGATATTTCTGGCCTCCCTCGTAAATATTGTTGAAAACCGTGGTTTTTGGTTGATCGTTTTGCAGCGGTAACACAATGTAGACGAATTCATATTCATTACCTTGATCCACTGTATGCAGTTCTCACCTTGATTCATGCCAAAGCTCTAGCTTCACCCTTAGCGAGATGGCTTGACAAAGGTCTCGCATGGCGTGTTATTATTGTCCTGAGCTGATCTCACACTATGTTAATGAGTATGTGACTTCTAAATTTAGGTATCACAGTCAAGGCTAAAAATCGTTTTAGTTCTAAGACTCACTTGTGGCACAGACATCCAACATGGGTGGGATGGTTCTTCAGTCCCTCTCAAGATCGAAGTTCGAACCCAGTAGTGTCAGGCTTGAAAATTCTCCCCTAGTTAGAAGATTTTCATGATAACACATCTGTCCCGTCTTTCCGTTTTATTTCCTTCTACTCTTCTGAGGTTCAAATGTCGTCTTCATAATCTAACATTCACCATAATCTAAATTTTTCAAAACCTCCACTACTTTGCAAAGCTGTCGTTGGACTATTTATTCAGCTCTGTTTTTAAAACAAGGATTAGCAATGTGTGGCATTGTGATATGCTTCTATTTATTCTGAGTAAGTAGCAGTATTTACCAAACACAAGAATTCAGTCCATTCTCTTGAACTGTAGATTATCAGGTGTCATTTATGATGCCTAGCCAGTAAATTACATCCAGTGTCTCTCCGTACGATTCTCCAGACCCGAATCCTTTGATCTGAATTGTCAGCAGACTAGACGATTGGTTCCGATCTGGTATTTTCAGAAAAGCGGATTCAAGTACCGCTACATAGGGTGCGCGTCATGCGATCGTGCGTTATTCTGTTTGAACTCCAGCCGTGAACGGCTTGCTCAGAGTGAATTTCTAATCAAGTCTCTTCACATATTTTCAGCTATAAGCCGAGCTTTTAGATGAAAATTCACTGGTTCCTCTTTCTTGATTAGCAGAGATTATGACTGATGAGTTCGTGCTTGTGTGCTTGGGCTCCATTTCCTCTCCCGCAGATTATATTACTCTGAAGTCATCCCTGAGGTAACCGGCCAAAAACAGCTTCCGACTATCCAAACGTATAGAAACTAAGCCTTCATGTTGCTTGGTAGACGGTGAAAATTCCGAATTTGGCGGCGTTATATCTCGGCGGTTCAAAAACCAATACGATCACCTCCACCAAAACAGCTTCTATCCAAACGTATAGAAACTAAGCCTTCATGTTGCTTGGTAGACGGTGAAAATTCCGAATTTGGCGGCGTTATATCTCGCTCGGTCAAAAACCAATACGATCACCTCCACCATAAGATTGCTAAAGCAGTTTTAAATGTTCCTGTCTTTATATATATATATATATATATATATATATATCACGAAGAAAAGCTGATAAAAGGTCAAAATCATGGAACTGTGTGTTCATTCTCGTGTGTGCTATTTGTATTTTACTCTCATACATATAGCAAAACTTCTATCAAGGCTTTGGACGAACAGCAGAATATACCGACATGTAATGTGGGGTTGGCTGAACTGGATTGTCATCACATATTTCTTATACTTTGGACATCCAGTTCACCATCCTTGTTGATGTTGTTTTAATGCATTGATATATTTGTTGGGAAGAAACTGTTGCTCAGCGCTTGGCAGTGTTAAAAATAATACATGGTTGCTGTTCTTTTCGAAGGAGCGGTGCGCAAGTTGAATTGTGTTTGGAGTATGAACTGCAACAACACTATGTCGATTCGAATTATTAGTAACACAGTGTCTAGTAACTGGATTAGTACAATATGTGGACTTACCATACTACAGAGAACAGAAGTTGGCGGTTTGGGAATTTTTGGATGCCATAGCGACGAAGGGGCAGGAGTGTAAGAGAAATTAACACACGAACCACTCAGTTCGTTCCTCCCCATGACCGTATCGTTTTGAGTCGCCCGTTAATCAACAGGATTTCAGTTGTTCAACTAATATAAGTGGTCTCTAAATAAATAACAAATGGCTTCATTACCTCATCTATAGTGGTCATAGATGTGACATGGATAGCTGAATTCCTTGTTTCCGTGAGTTCATCTTTGCAGAGGGACACGAACCAGCTAGGTCCATCTGATGAATACCCAGAATGGGGACCTGATGGTAGGACTTTCAGAGATTTTATTTACCTAATGATTAGTATCGGAGAAGGGTTTTATTTCCCATAGGCGTGTCGTACACCAGTGTAGGGGGCGCCAAATTATTTAGTTTTTCTCTTCATGACCCTTCTGACGTAGTCTAAAAAGTGAGGTTTGTCAGATCAACTGGATGATGGGTATGGCTCTGCAGCCCGAGTAGCCATATCATCGTCTGATTTTGACCATCCCGATTCGTGTATGGAATCGACAAGTCTATCTGTATATCAGTTTGTCTAACCACCCGCGCGATTAATACTGGAACAGCTTATAGTATGGATGCGAACTTCTTCTACTGTACTTTTTCGAGGTTCCTGTCAAGACGAGGCAAACCAGTCAAGATGTACAGTGAAACTGAGCCCACTTAAGGGAGGCTGGGGCAGGAAGACGTGAGTCAGTGCTTCTTAGTTGGAATGATTGGCAAATAGCAAGGACCTTCTTAGACTATGAATGTGGCTGGGTGTTCTTTGGACTCAGGTCCAGCAACCCACTGTTGTATGAGAAAGACTGATTTGAAGTACATGGCGTGCGCGCTGCGACTTTCTGACCGAAAGCCTGGTAGAGACCCTGTCGGCAGTTGTGGCTGAAGTTGAGAAACTAATAAACATGCGATGCGCACGCATCAAACCACCTGTTAATGCTGCACAAGACACCAGTCATAATCAACGATGCATTTCTGATCCCGCCATCCAAACACCACAGGACTGCGCAACACCTGGTAATCAGATTCTGGATGTGATGGAGGAGTGAATACCTTCCAAGCTTGATTACATGCCAAAGCTGGCTGCGTCCCGGAATGGTCTTGGTTATCGAAGAGCCCCTACTACTCCTCACATCACCAGAAAAGGAATCTGTGCCTCTCTTCGTGGGAAGAACGTGGCTCTGTCCAAACAACTACGAATTCTCAGATAGAAGCTCGTCCTTAGGGTTCTAACTACCGTTCTTCTTGTGCAGCTCTCACTTTGAGGGGAGCCCAGCAAGATAACGGAACCGTCTTTGGTAGCTATGACTTAGGTAGTTTCGAGCAGTCTTTTTACGTCGACAACTTACTTTACAGTTCCGAGTGTGCCCTACATCTCGTTCGATTTCCACAGCCGCCAACTACAGGCGGTGGGTTCCGCCCCGTGAAATGTTTCACAAACCTCCCGGACGCTTCACAGCATATTTTGCCCAGAGGACGAGCCCAGTCGAACGTTAACGTGGAACTTTGGCCGATGAGCATCAAGCAGCTGCCTAAAGTTGAAAAATATGAAACCACAAGTAATTTCGGTTTCCAAAGATGTGCTATTTGTGTCATTCGTCATGTCTTATGTGCCTAATATCCGACGAACAGTTTTCCCCAGCAATTTACTTTTCGCCTTGTGGACTACATCTTTCCAAGGAGAAGCAAATGTCTATTTCTCATAATCTGTCATAATTCCGCGGATTTTGTAGACTGAATGCGTCCGGTTCATTGAGATGCTTGTTCTTGATCGTGACAACTGTAGAAAATTTTCATAGATTTGAGCTGTACATGGTGGAACCGCTAAGCACAAAGTGGCTTTAATGGTCTTTTCGTGGGCGCACTAGATTCCCATGAAAGTAACATAGTTTTAACAGGAATAGTCCGATTTGTTTACTTTCACTTCCGCTTACTTGCACCACATTAGCTACACTTCTTTCGAGATCTAGTTTTATCCCCTCAGAATTGAACACGGTGGTGCCTAAGTGTGAACTCCACTTCTTCTGGTCGGTGTTGGTGGCACTGCAGAATGAAACAGAGACGGACAGAAATATTCTGTCCGACTTTGACCAATTATGAAGAACTATTCTGCCAACAAAGCTGTCATAAAATCGACTTTTGAAGATTTCGAGTTTTTGGTGAAATATTTCGCTTTCCTTGATATTAAAACCCGTTCTCCATGGCGGGCTTTCTGTTCACCGAGTTTGGTAGTTTGGCTGCATCACCCATTTCATAGTTTTTACCACTGGTTTGTCAGACTAAATACCTACTAGTAGGATACAGGTACAAAGTATTTGAGTGAGCGTAACTTGTATCGGTTTACTGACAGGCGGTTTACATAGTGCGACTACTATTCCGCCTAAATCCATAATGTTTGATTTTCTGGTAAATACACGTGACTAACGGATCGCAACTTGTCCATTGAAATCGATAATTCTGCCTTTGAATCATACAGAACTTCGCTCGAAGTAAACAACACAACTGGACCAATGGCGAATTATATCCCACATACAAAGATTCCTATTACAAACGTGTGCCAAGAAATACAAAATGCACGTTCGCGCGAGATCAACGAAGAGGTGGATATTCAAGTACCCCCCTACGTTGTGGACAGACGAATTCTGAGGAGTATAGAATATGGGAACCTGGAATATTTGGAAAGATATATACAGCAATGTCCTAGGAATATCGAGCGATACTTCTTTTTGGAAACTATACTGTCAACATCTCCCCTTTTGCGGAGCGTTTTGATCTCCAACCTGCTGGGATTTTCCTTGCTTTATCGTTCACACAAATGCTTGCGCATGTTGCTGGACCACGGATCTGATCCATTCCAAGCAACATATTTTATTGAGTACACCTCCCAGGGGGAGCAACAACGTAAAATACTTTTGTACGAGGCACCTGCCTTTTTGCTGCTCACAGGTAGCATACAGCCGCGTCACCGAGCTGAGTGTATTGCAATGTTGTCAGAATTGCGAGTTAGCGACGCGGAATTTCACATACCTATTACATTACGAAGGCAACAAATGGAACCACCACAAGAGCCAGTATCAGCCACAATCAGGTTTGCCGATGCGTGGGAGTGTCTTGATAAGGAAGTAGAAAAGAAAGGTGGAGACGATCTTGCACAGAACAAAGTCTTACTGCGCGAACTGAAGGCTGTCTATCGAGCAAATAAGTTTGACCGTTTGGACCAACCCAATGTGGAAAAATAATTTCTATTGCTTTCTTTATCTAATTTGTTATTAAGTGCAATGTTTTCTTTCTTCGACTTCTATTTTTGGAGATAAGCTCCTTGAAAATATTCAAGTGAATTAAGTTTAAGTGAATAAATTTTGTCCTCAACCTGCTTTCTTCTAGTTTGTTTTGGCCCGCAACTCACACATACCCTTTTGATCTAAAACAACGTTGCGAACACCATCCCAAAGATGCTGGTCTTTTTTTGTCATCACCAGGAAATCAACCTTGTCTGTCCTGTGTCCCAACTTGATAGCTACACAGGAACGAACCACCATGACAAGGTAGTTGCGACAGAACCTCTTACCAACCCCATCTGCACATGGTGTTGAGGTTTTGAGCATTTTAGTGTATTGATATTATGTATGTCACGTTGGTTAATTGTTGGAAAACTGTAATGACTGCTTACGGGACAGTCACATGACTTTGAACAGTCGTGTTCCGGCTCAAGCGTCCTGGTTATTCCACACCAGATCCCGGAAACGTTTGAATAGTGTTTAACTTAGAGATAGCAGAAGTAGTTGTCCAAAGAAGCAATGAACTTCTGAAGATCTTCGGAACGACAAGGATTGCTTGTGGGTTTGCCTAGCTTGCGCAGTACTGTAATCCCAATCTAATGGACATGACATAGTTGTATGGACATTGAACGACTTGTCTCATTAGTTCTGACATTAAAAGATAGCTTATGTGTATAAACCAGTAGTTCTTTACTCCACTGAGCCGCGACATATGATGCGAATAGTTTAGGTGTCGAACTTTCCCGTTAAGTGATTGCTCGAGAGCACACATCCTTCTTCCAGATTCGGGCCATCCAGTTTCAGTAATCATAAGATCTGATCATTTGTAGCGCAGTTTTCAAGAATACCACTTTTTTCGCTAGTGAGGCTGTTCAGGTGGACATTCAGTCAAGTCGAATTTCGGGATAACTCAGTGGTTAAGGCGCAAACACCCGTTATTCGAAGCCAACCTCTGCATCTCGACTGCTCCTGTTTGGGTATTGGTAACGTGGCAGAATTTCAATCCTCTTTCTTCCTTCGGGTGTTACGAAAGTAAAGACCCAAAAGAGTGTTACAGACAAACGATTATTTTACATTTACTCATAGTCAGCTTCGGGCTTTTCATCCTGATGAAGGCCTTACAGAACATTGAAGCTGTTGGTCAGCACGTGCATTGGGAATTTGATATTCCCCAAATGACTTTGAGCGGTTGTGCAGTACGAAACTTGAATGGTTTTACCAAGTCAGAAGCTGATACGTAAACCGAAAAGATAACAGGTGTGACGGCTTATTTCCACTGAACTACCTTGTTCTCTGACTGCATGAGATGTTTTCCCATTAGAGCCATCATTTCAGTAAAGTGTAAAAAAACATGAGCATAGGTGATTCAGCATAGTGCACAATGAAGCGTGAAATTCAGTACTAAATCCAGCACTTCTCAATTGTCCCGGCTGAAACCTCCTTCATACTCAATTCAGACTAGGCACATTCGAAATTTGTTTGCTCCTGGAACATCAGACTTGACTCACATGAGTTTCTTTAGATAAGCAACCCAGTCATGAACAGGTTGAAACTGGCAGCTCGGTTACTTTTACTGGTTGTTGATCAGGTGGTTGATGGTCTGTTTTGCCAAATCCCAAACTCGCCGGACAGATCAAGGCGCACCAGATATTCTCATCTGTACGAAGTTCCTAAACTTAATGAGGATTGGACGACGTAGGTTAGTTTCAATTCAGTGCTCATATGTGTTGTGTCGAATAGCTTCAAAGCCGTCTGGTGCACGTGAATGACAAAGAATCATTTGAGTACACGGTTCAAGTGCTGATGGCGGCGACATGTGTACTAAGTTTTACTGCCATAAAATACCCAAAACTAGGTGACCATAGAAAAGCCGATCCTATCACTACCATGGGGTACAAGTTGACCGCACAGTAAACCTATCGTCGCTTACACACACACAAGTTAACCGAATATGTCCTGTTCTGTGGAATGGCATAGTGGAACCTGGTTGTCACAACTTGATGTGATCAAGCCATGAGTCGGATAGCAAGCTTATCTTTTCATAGTTCTGAGGAAACCAATGATTTTTCAGCTGTCACAGAGCAAACCAGGGGCAGCGTAATACATTCGGGAAGCACAGAATGACCTAAAATGTCAAGGAAACTTTCCAGGGATTACATTTTTCCGTCGAATTTTGTAACATTTTCTGTGTTATTCATTTACTCAAGTCTAAGATAAGTTGGTCAGATTCACATACAGGAAATTGATTAAAGTGGACAAATCAACGGCTCTAGTGTGGCTGCAGACATGAACGTGAGTGACAAATGGCTGTGACCGATATTCGAAACTTCCGGGAAATTGATATGATGTTTATCCTTGGATTTGAAGGCGTGTCTATGCATCCGATCATGTTGCAGCACGGTTGTAAACCCGAAGCACATGCATGCATCACCAATGCCATCTGAAATTCCCTCCTGTCTATGTTAATACTCCAAACCTCTGTACAACGTACTCCTTCATTCACAGTGGTAAACAACCCACAGGACCGTGTAGTGCCGATGTTATATGTCCCTAGTCTAGCGGAAACTGTTGCCTTACAAGTCCACAGAATCCAGAAGCACTTCCACTGGAAAACGGATTCCACTGCAATGTACTGGGATGGTCGGTCTTGTTAGAGTGGCGTGACGCACCCTTTGAACCATGTAAGTGCAGACCCGCAGAATGGCAACAAACAAGGTATAGTCACCAATGTTTTTTTCCGACTTTTAGAGTATTTTCATGAAAACGCAACAGTGTGGTGTGACTGGGGGAGCCTGATCGGCCAGATGTGTGTCAAAAGTTTGGTTACAATGCCTGTGATGGTGGCGTACAGGACCGAAAGACAGTCTGATCCTTCGGGGTACAGTGCTTCGGCAATTTTTCTCATGTGGAGTTTGGGGCCAACAACGTGTGTCATTGAAAAACGTTTATCTGAACCCGATATTGAATCCGTCAATCCGTTTTCTTCACCGACGGGAGAATTCAGGCTGAGATAGTTTCATTTAAATCTTCTCCAGCCTAAACTTTATGGCCTGAAACCCGATGAGCGTTGTGACCTCTAACTGAATCATACCGCAGAAAAGAGCATGCGAGAATTCGGGTTGCGACTGCATTTGGAAAAGTGTTACGGTATTTTTCACACGCGTTGCGTGAGATCTTTTTGAAGACACGGGAAACAATTGACTGAATCCACAGTCCAGGAACTTTTGCTTCGTATCAGTTCTTACAGAAGACTACTTAAGACACTCAATGCAGATATACACTGTCCTCAGGAAGCGCTAGGTATAAAGCTTCTGGACTAGGCGTTTCGTTGATTTTTTCGGGAGGGGGGTTGAGGGTTAGCGGGCCAGGGGGTGACATCCAAACATGGAATCTGACCACAAAGCTGAGGAAAAGCGAAGAGTGCACTACCCACTGGAAGAAGTTGATCAAGACTAGAGGTCACATACCGTTTATGTGGCCAAGAAACATCCAGGATGTTTATAGATTTCCACAATCACTTGTGTTCGTTGGAAGCAAAACAGTGCGACCGGAATTTTCGCAGCTAGCTGAGCTGACTGAAACGCCAAATACTATTCGTTTTGTCCATTAGGAAAAATTGGGGCAACTTAGTGAAAAGATTCACCAAAAAGCCGTGCGCTCGATCATGCGACAAACCAAACTACGATCAAATGTCCTTACGCTTCATCCTCAGAACTGAGATGAGGTTTGTTCTCAGTCAGATTGGGTGTAAATTAATGCAAGAACTCGGCTTCCGGATGCAGATACTACAAAATTTCTCACCGTGTTTTTCGTATGATCGCGTACTGTCGGTGGTGTAATTCTGCTGAGTAAGCTGTTATCTCTAGCCCAACTGATTCAACACAGCCTATGTGGGGGCAAGGGGAACTAAACTGACCGCTGACAACACGAAAATGTTAATACTACCTTAACGAAAGTCACCCAACCTGGAAAAGGTAGAGTGATCGATGAAACAGATGTATCAGTAGTGCTACACGGTGGATGCACCGCGTGCATCCGACTGAGGGTCTGGGCAACATTATCGATTGCAACAACCCATAGTTCGTGTGTCTAAAAGTATTTCGCGTCATCGTGATAACGGATAATTCACCTATTATCGAAGAAGTTCCAGTACATTGTCCGTTAAATAGGCAGTGCGCCGTCATGTGGTGCCATGATAATCATGAGCGCTAGAAAATTGGCTTGATCACAAATTTGGCATTTGGAAGATGATCTTTGCTGAGCTACATCTCACAATTGTTCGCTTTTTTAAAGTGAGGTGATACAAAACTAAACAAATATGAATGTAATGGGTAATGTCTATCGCATTCCTGTACGGACAGCAAATAGACGAGGCGAACTCTTTTTGAGTATGGTATGCACGACACAAAGCATCGCGGACGTGGACCTCTGGTGTAGCCTATTGACAGTAAATTTCAAATAAGTATTTCTTGCAGTGAAAGGCCGGTCATCCTAACTCTACTGAAGCAGGAATTAATCGCAAACACGTGCTTAACAGTTAGGGATTACAAGAAGGGGAATGAGTGTACACCTGTGGCCCCCATCCAACAATGGAGTAAACTTTACACTACTGACTAAGCGGACTGAACAAGAGATCACTGCTACGGTTTTTGCTTCTGATTGGTTCTCTTAAACACAATCGTTAATTGTCTAGACGTAACACACTATCCATAAGATTGCTGAAAATTCTTCGACATCCGTCCGACAGGTCCCACCCTCCTTGAGGCTCATCAGATAGGCTCGGTGGCCGAGCTTCTACAAACCTGATGTTTTGCTCTAATCCAATTTTGATGTGCAATTTGGTTCCAAGTAGAACATAAAGTTGACGGAAACTCGGGGACTGCGCCTACCTGATGAACCACAAGAAGGGTGAAACCGGTCGTAGGCTCCTGAAGGATTTTCAGCAACTTTATGAGTAGTGC